AATGTCAAGCTAATTCTTATATTAAGGACCGGTAGTATATTGTGAAGTCTTCCCTTAGCAACTCTTAACTATTCCAGCTCCCTACGATAACTGATTCTGAAATCTCTGTTACTGACTATTTTATTTATATCGTAGCATATGGTTACATCAATAAATAAATACTTATCTCTTATTTTATTAGCAAATGGGATATTGCCCTGGTTTTAAGCTCATGAATCTTTTCTTCTGAGAGCAGATGCAGGCTTTGTATAGAATTGGAAAGGGTGAGCGGCCGCTTGTTCCTGACTCTCTTTCAAGAGATGCGCGAGATTTTATCCTGCAGTGCCTTCAAGTCAATCCTAATGATCGTCCCACTGCTGCTCAGCTTTTAAACCATCAATTTGTCCAAAGGCCACTTTCCACATTCTCTGGCTCTGCATCTCCTTATATACCTGCCAGAAGGGGTTGAATTTAGCTGGTCGTCTCAAAGTATGAAACATTTGGGTAATAACTATTCCATACTAGCTGATTTCATTGCTCAGTTTCTTACACGTAGCACCTGTATTTGCCTTAAGAATGCCATGACTGATTGAGTTTTTCCGGCGAGAAAATATAGCTGGCATGCCTGAAAGGTGAATTCTGGGCGTCATTATATGTGTGTCGTGCAGAAGTCTTGAGTAGGGTCGAAGTCTATTGTCATTCTTATTTGGTAGGGAGTTAAAAAGGTAGGTAAATGAAAGAAATGGAGGCCATGTTTAGCAGGACGGATTTTTTTTTCCCCTCTCCCCTCAAAGGAAATGGAAGACTCTAATGGAACTGTGATTTTTTGGGCTAAATATGTGTTGGGTAAATGGGAAGAAATTATTTGTATTTGTTTATTTATTCTGCATTGGAAGTTTGGTATGAAATAATCACTAATAGAAAAATTGGGAGTCAAAGTGACCAAATGACATGAATATCGTTAATGAAAATACCCAAGCTGAGCTTCCAGAATCACGAGCACTATTTCAATATACAATAGAAGACTAATATTATTTAGAGGACAATACTTATACCAAATTCCTTATATCCATTATGCCAGGTTTTTCAATTACACATGACCATATGTTTTATTCTTGAAGTATTAACATTTAATAGTATTTAATTATAAATCTACATGAAACAAAAAAGGCCACATGTTCATACATGATTGAAGAATTTGACATAATGAATATAAAGAACTTGATCTAAGTTTTTTCCTTATGTAAATATTTATATAAAATGACATTCATTTTACAGAACTTGAAATATTTTATACCAAGTAGGGGCAAAATAGTCGGAGTATTTTATACGAGGGCAAAATTGATGGCGTATTTTTTGTTTCATGGTAGGAAGGAACTTTCCTTGACATAAGTGAAGGAGGCCTACTACTTTTGTATGAGTTAAGGATGAATTCCCTGATGACTTAAATAATGGGTAACAAACATCAAGATGAGGAATCTCTATCTCGCTTTCTTGAAATCATTTTCAGCCATATTAAACATGACCAGAGTCTTTCTACTAAACCCATCCGTGGTGCAATTCTTAACTGGCTACTTGCCGTTGTATTTCCCCTTGTGCGTATTTTTGTACAAAGAATTGCTTATATATCTTCCACTGGCTTATCATATTTTGTTTCCTAATAATGACAGCTCTGTTCGCCAATTTTCAAATTGCTGGAGTTAGTCTCGGATCCACCATCCCTGCAAATCTCCAATTGCTGCTTGTGCTGTGCATTTTAGGTTTTTCCTTCTCAACAATTATCTTGGATCTAAGAAACGATCCGGGCCTCCCCAAAACCAACTAAACAAGTTGGTTCTGATATCTTTTTCACTGAGGAGGATCGAGCAGCTTTCTGAACCACTTGAATTAAACTTTTGGTTGCTTGTTTGAGGGATGCTCTGTTTGTATTTAATTATTCAATGATGGTTGTAGCTAGGCAGTGAATCAACTTCGAGCTGTAAAAAGTTGTGCCTGAATTGGTTAGTGGTGAGAGATTTGTGTATGTTTAGCCCGAGCGATTAGTGTATGGGTAGTGTATTTTTTTGTACATATTACCTTCATTGGCATGCGTCGTGAGTCTGAATTTACATCTCTTCAAAGTTATTATTTGTCAATCTTATTCATATCTTGTAATGAATTGTCAGGTAAAGTAAATTAGTTATGATTTATAGACAGTTGAGACTTCTATAAAGTTTATAGTCTTTCGATCTAAATACAAGAGTTAGGTATTGGTTTTGGTTTTAAATGTGAACTGAAAATATAAATATCAATTTATCTCATTGGGAAAGTTAATTTGGAGGTCCCTATAGTTTGCATCAGTTTTGAATTAGGTCCTTAAACTTTTTTTTTTCTTTTTATTAGAGCCTTTGACTTTTTACTATTAATACCAATACTCCTTATCGTTAAATGTGAACAAATACTGTTAAAAATTACATCTCCTTTCCCGCCACATTCTCTTGACCTCACCATCCCTCCTCACCTTTTCACCCAAGTCCTGCCTCCTAAGAAGGAAGAAGGCTCATGACTCTGACGATGTCTATCCAATCACAAGCTCATTCATCATACTTTGTTCCCTGTGCTTCTCTACAGCCATCTCTCTATTGTCTTCTCCACTCCTTTTGTTTCTCGCTCCTTCAATCACTCCCTTTGATTTTGTTCTATTTTTTTTTTCCAGGTACTATTATCACTCCTCTATCTTATTACTAATTGAAGACTGATTCTGTTTTTCTGAGAGTTTTTCTTGATTCAAGAGTTAAATAGAATGCTCCTTTTGTTTTTGAAAATCCTGTGAACTTTTTCCCTTCAATGCAATTTTAATTGGAAGATGCATTCAATTTTTTTTTTAGTAGATCATTCGATTTATTTGCTCCACCAAGAAGTTCGTCCCATATATGCTGAGCCTTATGGATCAATTGATTAACAATCTATTTCTTACGAAATGTTGCGGCATTGGAGAAATTTCAAGGAGAGGATGGGATGTGAAGGATGATAAGAAAGGAAGATTGGTGCGGAAGAAGATGATGTAACAAAAATATAACAGTGTCTATTTTCACTTAACAGTGAGAACTAATGGTTTTAACAGTATAAAGTTAAAGGATCTAGTAAAAAGAAACAAAAAAGGCTCAAGGGCTTGATTCAAAACTGATATAAACTATAGGAGCCTCCAAATTAGTTTTTCCTATCCTGTTTAACAATTTATTACCCTTTACATATCAAAATAGGGTTAGAATGTAAATTTTTCCACGACTGTAAAATTTACTTTGATGTGAAAGTGCCCAGCTGAGAAAAATGTGAAAAAGAAATTATCATGGTCATTGAAATGCAACAAATGTTGGTTACATGGTTTGGTACGTCACGCCTGCTGACCATGTGCAATGTATTTTAATCCGATGTGGCAGGTGGGAAGTCTAATGAATCTCCGTCCAATGTGTTTATGAGTCGCATAAGTCTCAGCGCTGTCCTCAGTAAGTGTCCTCCACTGTCCACTCCTCCATTTTCGTCGGTCTTGGTCTCTGGCTTGAGGGGAGAGAGAGGTTGACAGAATTGAGAGAAAAGGGGAAGAGACGCAGAGAGATTGAAGAGCCAATAAGAGTTAATCTAGTTGTTAAAAGAGTTGACTTATAATTTATAGAATCACGGGTTAAAATCTTGCTGCGAAGAATTTTATTGGTGGACAGTTTATAAATATCTTTATAAATACTCTCTGAGCTTAAAAACATGTCTTGGTTACTCAATTCATCTAATTTTTTTTAATTACCAAAAAAAGAGATTAGAAAAGGGAGATGTTTTCCTTAGGTCCATGATTAGCTTCACTTCATCTTCTCTCTCTCCGCCCTCTCTCGTGCAGCGCCAGAGATCAAGGAAGCGGGTCCTCGACGGGTTCGCACAGCAACTTTTCGTATTTTTCTCTGCGTGCGCCTCCTGTGTTGGGTGTTTCTATACCTTTTTTGGGGACTGCCTCACAAACTTGTATACTCAGTTTTTTTTTTCTAATTAAATGAAAAACAAAAAAAAACTTTTACTGTAATTAATTATTAACACTCTTGAGCTCCTTGCTTTCCTCCTGTTTGTTTCTCCTGCATCTTAAATAATTATAATATAAATTTAAAAAATAATCTACGAACTCCTCATCTATTTTTTAATTCAAAAATTTGATTTCAATATCTGGATTTTCAGATTTAAGGCTCTCCAATACTGATTTTTTATATTAAAAAATTATATATGATGAATGATCTTGCCCCGCTTGTTATTATTATTATTATTATTTTTAAAAAAAAAAGCATATACCAGAGAGAGAGGGGCTCTCGAAGGCCCAGCCTAATTCTAATGGGCTCAGGCCATCTCTTTCAAGTTTCATCAAACACTAGAATTATCGCGTCTTTTACCAAAGAAACATCGGAGGAATGTAAGATTACTTGGGTTAGGAATCCTAGGCGGGTGCATCAGATCGTCAATAGCTCTTATTATATCCAACATTGAGATTGAGATTGCGTACCGGCTTAACTCTAAATTCGTACGCCGGTTGCTGCAGCAGGTGGGGGTTACTCTTTATTCCCCCCCGTTTGAAGAACGTGAGCGCCAGGATCGGGGCGCTCTCCTCCTAACCACATATAGTTTCTCTCGGTGGCGCGGTACCTGAGGTATTAGTCGCTCCCGATCTTTTATTTTATTCTTAATATTCCTGATGGAATCAAGTTCTGAGTTCATTTTGCAGCTCTTGCCCAGTTTTTGTTTTGATGATCCCTGATGCTTTTGGTTTATTCGTCTGATTCTTATCGCAGATTCTAATGCAATGTTGGGCCTATTTTTGACATTTGTATTTGCATCAACTTTGCAATTTAGATTTGTGATGGGGGGTTTTAATGAATCAGTGTAGTATGTTGCCGATCACGGCTTTGTAAATTGTGAGGGTTAAAAGTCCTTATTTGCTTGAGACTTGGACTCAAAATGATTTAATGGGGCTTGAGATGTAGCAGTCTGTAAGGGATATGAACGATCTTTATAGATCATACTTGCTACGCGATTTCAGGAAGTAATAAAAATGCTGCCTTTCGTATCAATAAGCAGCAGAAAACTTTTGTTTTGGATCATGGCCTTTGGATTCTTCGATTATTATCCTATCCTTAATAATGCTGCTGGGTTATTGTAAACTGTTTTCATAACATATAGGCTTATTCCTACTTGAGAAGGAGATGCTAATCACTCCCTGAGTGGATTATTCTGGTCCTTTTGATAGTTAGAATAAGCAACTGTGTTGAATTTTTTGGCCGACTGGGTTTATCAAATTATCCCTTCCACACGATAAATTGAGTTTATGGATCAGAAATCCCTCCCCGGGGGAATTGACTGTCATATGTAGCATGTTCTGTGGTTAAAATATGTTTTAGTCAGTAATGCTACCGAATATCACGTGTAGTTGCTGAAAATTGATCAATTTGTCACTGGTGATAGATTCGTATCTACTGAATTTACTTACGACAAAGTGCCTAATCATAGAAAATAAATCGTGCTAATTTATGGTATAGGAAGTTCTGCTACAGGCCGGCAATATATCCACCATGATACCTTAGCATGCGTCCTTTGTTGCTTATTTACGAGCTTTATTGGCATGGCTAGTAAGTTTGCATGATAAAAAAGCATGTGGTTGAAAAGAGGACTGATAGTAGACCCTTCATATCCTTATATGATTTAGGAGCTTCACAATCGAAGCTCAACTTATTTACTTCTTCTTATCCCATAATTTGCTTTACAAAATTCAGTGGCATGTGCTCATTTTTCATATTCAAATTTTTATTTGTATGTTATGCATCATTATTAAAATGGAAATGCATAAAGAATTTCAAAATAAAGAAAAGATGAAGTTGTGTTGCTTCATTTGTTTACATGTCCTTGAACTTCTTTGCAACTGCCATGACGATGAAGTTAGTTGGTTACATTTTTGTCTTCGACCTATGTACTTTGCTGTTATTGTGTGTTTAAATTGGGTAAGGAGCTTATGCTACAGTTCGCTGGGGGTTTTGCCCTCTTTTAAATAGTTTAGATATGAACCTTGTGATTAATGCTCATAGGTAGGGCCAGGAATAAGACATTGTGGTATTTCTATGTCTATGCTTAATGAGATTCAGACATTAATAATTCGTGGCTTAGATGGGTGCAGAAAAAGCATGGTTAGTTTAATTAACAAATGAAGTACCAAAAATTCATTTCAATTGTATTAAAAAATGGATTTTAGACACTTAAATTATTCTTTGTAATCTTTTGATTTGTGACAGAATTTTGCTCCTCTGTTCTTTTTCTTTTTTTTATTCTTTTCCTCCTCTCCCTTGGATAAATCTCAGGCTCAGTTTTCTAAATGGCTAAAGTAGGCAAGGTGCAAAGGAAATCCCATTCTCAATGTCACAGGGCAACTCCATATCCGTTAACATCTCACTCCCAGAAGAATTTGAAAGATGATGAGAAGAGCTTTTATAAAGCATCTGAGAAGCAAGACTGGGAAGATGCAACCTGCTCTGTCTGTATGGAGGTCCCCCACAATGCAGTCCTTCTCCTTTGTTCATCTTATAACAATGGTTGCCGCCCTTATATGTGCGCTACAAGTCATCGCTTTTCCAATTGTTTTGAGCAATACAAAAAGGCATATACCAAAGCACCTGTTCAAAGTTTGCCACTGGCAACGAATAATTCCAATCTGAATGCAGGTGAAAGCAGTGACTACGCAGAGGTGCCTGAGCTCCTTTGCCCTCTTTGTCGTAGGCAGGTAAAGGGTTGGACTGTTGTTGAAGCAGCACGGAAGTTTTTGAATAAGAAGAAAAGAGGCTGCATGCAGGATGAGTGCTCTTTTACGGGCACTTACAAGGAGCTTAGGAAGCATGTTAGGTCAAAGCATCCATGTGCACGACCACGAGATGTGGATCCTATACGGAAAGAAAAATGGAAAAGGCTTGAGTATGAGAGGGAACGAAATGATGTGATCAGCACAATTTTGTCATCTACTCCCGGGGCTATGGTCCTAGGAGATTATGTGCTTGAACCAAATGACCACACCTTCTATAGTGATTCTGATTCTGATTCTGAATCTGAGGAGGAATATGTGGATGATGATTTCTTCTCCATGAGGTCGATTGGTTTAGGAAGAAATAGGCCTTTTTTGTCGAGCATTGGTTATGGTCGGGGCTTTGAAT